TATTAATTTTTTCTAGAATTTTATATGAAAGCATAAGATGGTCAGTATCAAAATAGTCAATTTTTAATATAAAAATTTTTACTAAATTTTCAATTTCATAGCTATTTGACCTTTTTCTTCCTTTATTTATTTATTTAACTATTTTCTCAATATAATTTTCAAGGTCTTGTCAAGCAGCTTTCTTAATATTCTATGATTTGTAATCTCCTCTTATAATAAAATTTTATTTGTAATATTAACAAGAACAGGATCTATAGGAATCAGTTGATTTAATACTTTATTTTTTTTTATTTTTTATATGTAATACTTTGTATTAGTTTTGCAAAACCTAAAATTTAAATTTATAATTGCAATAAAAATTTTATTGAAAGATTTTATTAAATTAATTAAATTAATAAAAATTAATAAAATAAAAAACTGATAATAAAAATTATAATAATAAATTATAATAAAATTAAAATAAAAATTATAATAAAAATTACAATAAAAATAAAAATATAATAATGAAATAAAATTAAAGGTAATAATACTATATGAAATAATTTTGGTATATAATAAGAATCTAAAAAAATTTATCATTAATATATTAAATTAAATTTAAATAATAATACTAATATATTTACCAAGTAAATTTTCATTAAAATCAAATCATCATCTAAATTTTTATCAGAATTTTCAAAATCTACAATTTTAATCATTTTAGGAATATTTTCTTCATAATAAATATCTCAGATAAATAATTCATCAATTAAACTACAATTTTCATAAGATTTATTACTATAAATAAGTTCATAAAGAATTTTTTTATATGATTTACAAACAGAATTATTCATGGATAAAATCACTAAGCGAAGTTCATATAACCAATCGCTTTTTCCAGAGATTTTTCTCTACTTTTCTAATTTTTATTTAAAATACCATTTTTTCTTTTTACTAAACCTTAAGATTATGAATGACAAGGTCTTCTATTGATAATTTTTATAGATAATCAAAGATTAACAAGTTCTTTGATTATTTCAGCTCAAAATTCTTTTCTATTATCAGATTGTAAAATAGTAGAAGGAGAATTAATAAAAAAAAAATAAATCAAATAAAAAGGCTATTACTTCAACAGCTCATTTAGAAATAAATAGTTTTGCCTAAGAAAATTGAGTAAAGTGATTGTGAGCATGACAAATATATTTGTAATCACCATCAGTATTATAAGATAAATCAATTAAATCTATCTATAAAATAATTTTTAAATTAAAATGCATTTATTCATAATATTAATTAATTAAATAAATTATTTTAGTTACCTGCACATGAGATAGATAATTTTTTGCAATTATTGGTTTATTTGCTAAAGGATGAAAGAAAGCTTTTGAGTAACACATATAGTGCAGTTGTTGACAAACATTTTAAATAATTTCTTGTCTTACAAAACCAATTTTGTTTAACTGACTTCTATAGTTGCTTTTGACCTGTATGATTATCAATTTCAGCATGTGTTCTGCATAGTACTTCATATATATTTTCTTTTAAAACAGGTTTATTATCTTTTTTACGATAATTCTATAGTCTCCTGGAGTAATTTCTTCAAGGATAAAGCATTTTTTAGCTCATTTATGTGTAGTTTTTGTGTCAATTTCAAAAGGTTAAGTAATATTTTTTTATTCATTCAAAAAGATTTATATTAACTAAAGCTTTTCTTGATGACAATCTGGCAGAGAACTTATATATTTATTAATTATATCATCAAGTGTGGCCTTGCTAATAAAATTGTATTCCATCTTTAAAAAAACGAATATTGATAAAAAAAAAAATGTAAGACTTGAAAAAAAAAAAATATAAGGTGTAAAGTAAATGATGTAACAATGTAACATTAATTATTTATTTGATCATTAATGCGTCAGATGACAGCCAACGCGCCTCAGATGTCAAATATTAACTGACGCACGTCAAGTATCGATCGATACCTGACGTGCGTCAGCTGCATCTGACGCAAATCGACACTTGAGGCACAACAAATACAATGCAATTTGATCGCTAAAGCGATTTCAATTGAACCAATTTGGTAAAGTTATGGGATAAAATAAAAATTGACAACCTTTTGTAATTCTTATGCGCTGAGAATTTATATAAATAAATAGTTTTATTTTATTTGAATTTTTTTGATAATAAAAAAAAAATTATATTGTATGAATGGACTCTATTAAAACTCAGATTTTAGAATATTTTAATTTTATAAGATCAATATGTTTTTGATTACTTTTCATACCTTCAAAAACGCTTTCATAAACATTTGATCTATTAAAGTTCATTTTTATCTGAGAAATAAAGCAATAACACCAGTAAGGGCACCGGATGTTTTAAGATAAATTATCACCGATATTAGCGTCAGTGTTTATTTTTAGAAAAGGATTTTATATTAAATAAAAGAAATTATAATTGTTAAGGACGGTAAATAGAAACATGAAGGTATGATGACCACGAATGTATGGCGATGTATGGTGATCGACTAGGGGTAACGAAAACAAGTATGGTATGGTGACTGATGTATTTATGTATGATGACAAATGTATGGTAGTTTTAGCGGTTTTTCCTATACATGTATGTTTAAAACGGAACTAAGATAATATATTGTACGGTATTATTTACCCTTTTGTTCTCATCTGCTAATAGGCGTTTGTAGTAGGAAAGGAGGGAAATCTAACCTTAAATGGTAAGATAATCATTTAAAATCAATGAGAAATTTCGGAGATAGATAAAACTTTGCATTGACGAGAGTAGTTTATCACCATCTGACTAACTGATAAGACAAATTTGA